TGATATATTGTGATAATATTGTGATAATCCCCAATTGATCCATGTGATGAACATTGGTATACAGTGATATATTGTGATAATATTGTGATAATCCCCAATTAATCCATGTGATGAACATTGGTATACAGTGATATATTGTGATAATATTGTGATAATATTGTGATAATCCCCAATTGATCCATGTGATGAACATTGGTATACAGTGATATATTGTGATAATATTGTGATAATCCCCAATTGATCCATGTGATGAACATTGGTATACAGTGATATATTGTGATAATATTGTGATAATAGTGATATATTGTGATAATATTGTGATAATCCCCAATTGATCCATGTGATGAACATTGGTATACAGTGATATATTGTGATAATATTGTGATAATCCCCAATTGATCCATGTGATGAACATTGGTATACAGTGATATATTGTGATAATATTGTGATAATCCCCAATTGATCCATGTGATGAACATTACAGTGATATATTGTGATAATATTGTGATAATCCCCAATTGATCCATGTGATGAACATTGGTATACAGTGATATATTGTGATAATATTGTGATAATCCCCAATTGATCCATGTGATGAACATTGGTATACAGTGATATATTGTGATATATTGTGATAATATTGTGATAATCCCCAATTGATCCATGTGATGAACATTGGTATACAGTGATATATTGTGATAATATTGTGATAATCCCCAATTGATCCATGTGATGAACATTGGTATACAGTGATATATTGTGATAATATTGTGATAATCCCCAATTGATCCATGTGATGAACATTGGTATACAGTGATATATTGTGATAATATTGTGATAATCCAGATCCAGAACATGATGAACATGTTCATTTTAACAAAATAATTATGGCGGAAAAGGATGATTTCCGGTTTGTCGGTAAACATCTTGTCACCAACGAACCAGGCCATAGAACGGAATGTAAGCATCAACCAACTTGAGTTTTGAAACTGCTCATCTGTCAAATTGGATGGACAAGCTGATTTTACAGAAGGTGAAATTTCAACTTAGAACAACTAGTTTAGTTGGGAATTCTATCATTGTTTCTTCACCCTTTAAACAACCATGGACATCAATACCATCTCCAATCATGCCTGCAAATATCATGGAACCAAAGAACCACCAGATTGGCCAAAGTTCTCTTGCAACATTGAAGATTTGGCATGTGAGTTCGAGTATCTGCGCACCGTCAAGGCAGCACCTCCCTGCGTTGTCATCAGCCCTTTCCGCCAAACCCAGGGAGTTCGAAGGCCCGTTGATGCCCGTTTTAGGTGGGTATCACCCAGGTGACGCAATGATAAGCCATGCCATTTCTTCAAGTGACGAAGGTTTGGCAGTTCGCCCTCAGAGTGTCGTATTCCGATGCTCGGCTGATATAGTTCAGCAAGTAGCCCGCGATGTGCGCAGGGCTGCGGAAACGGACCCGCACCTGAAAATGGCAACCAGGTGGACAGGGCCGGTTTTTTTTTGTGTGTGTGTGTGATAACCCTTTCAACTGCTAGGAAAACATGGCTCTTATGCCCCAACTGCCAGGGATTTCCGGGAGATTTTCCCATGAACCAATTCTGCAAAGAACTCCACTGCTGGCTAGGTATAACCCCATTTTGGTGGATTTGTCTGAAAATAGTGCCACAAACTCGGTCTATCATGCTTTGTCAAATCTCCAAAAAATGCGTGCAAATCAAATCCCCATGTCTAAGGACAAACAAACATAACAAACCATTATAGCTAATTTCCAGGATTTCCATGATATCTTCATGGTTTTAATCCGGTGTTTTATGGTTAAAAAAAAAAAACATGTTCGATGCCCTGCTGCCACTGGAAATCTTAGGACATCCTCACCTCCGCCGAAAGGTAGATCTGGGGCGCAACGAAGCGCCACTGCGTCTTGGGCAACGGCCCGGTGTCGCTGTACCTGCTAACGATGGTCGGTTAAAGAGAAAATCTGTAGGAAACATGATTTTTTGACCCACAAATCTAGGGTTTTCCTAGATAGGAAAGTTATGGAAAGTTGGGTTTCGAAACTTGGACAATTGTTGTGTAAAAATGGTGGAAATTCTTCCAACTCATAACTGGAGCTCTCACTGAGACGTTGAAGGGAGCGTGTAATCTTGCTGGTGTTTAAGCATCTCCAAGTTTGACCCATGCCCAGTATGGATTCAAATTGGCACCCCAAGAATGAGTAGCTTCATGTGTTTTAAAAAGAAAATTGAAATGACCATGGTCTGACCAGAAGAATTCAATTCCATTGCTTCTCATAGGAGTTGCCAAATTGGACTATAAGAATTGCATTTTTATTAAACCAGTAAAATATAAACTCATACCATGAAGCAATGAAGGTTTTTGGGCAGCTCGGTGATGTGGTGATATCTCAGGATATATAACTTTCTGGAGCCGCAAAATCCACAAAAATCACAGCCAGTAGCAGCTCCACCTCTCCAAAAACTGCAGGAGTTCCTCCTGAGACCATGAAGAGCCGCAGCTCCAACAAAGGTCTTTGATTTTAGCAAGCCAAATCTGTGGAAATTGTTTGAACAAGTTGCAGTGTCTACTTACATCTGTTCAAACCCCCAAAAGCTGGTGGCTTTGGATTGTTATGGAAGTGAAATTGCGTATCTGTGTTTCGGTGAAACTTTCTTTGGGGCCACTCCATTCAGCCCCAACCTGTGCGTGACCAGCATTCATGAAACTAAGCAAAAGGGCGAGGGGCTCACTTTGGGCATGAATTTGAGCTCACTTTGGGCATAAATCGGATCATTTTGGTCATAAATGGGATCGCTTTGTGCACAAATGGGATCACTTTGGGCATAAATGGGTTCCTGTAAGGTTTCTTTAGGGATTTTTTAGAGATTCTTCAGGGTTTTTTTCCGGTTTTCTTTAGGGTCTTTAGGGTTTCTTCAAGGTTTCTTTAGGGTTTCGTTAGGGTTCCTTTAGCGTTTCTTTAGGGTCTCTTTAGGGTTGCTTTTGGGTTTCTTTGGAGTTTCTTTAGGGTCCCTTTAGGGTCGCTTTAGGGTTTCTTCAGGGTTTTTTTAGGGTTTCTTTAGGGTTCCTTTTAGGGTTTCTTTAGGGTTTCTTTAGGGTTGCTTTAGGGTTTCTTTAGAGTTTCTTTGGGGTCCCTTTAGGATCCCTTTAGTTCTTTAGGGTCTCTTTAGGGTTTCTTTAGGATTTCTTTAATGTATCTTCTGAGTTTTTTAAGGGTTTTGTTAGGGCTTCGTTAGGGTTGCTTGAGGGTATCTTTAGTGTTTCTTTTGGGTTGCTTTAGGGTCTTTTAAAGGTCATCCGCGCCGCTCAAAGCGAGAATAAATTAACGCGAAGCGAAACCAAATTTACGCCCGCAGGGAGCCGAAATTTACGCCCCATGAAAACACTCGCCCCTCAGCCTGGGGGGCTCCAGTTCCAGAGTCCCCATGGAACATGAGTGCCGACCAGTTATCTATATATACTTTTGGCTATATCAATGAATGTCCTTTGTCTGATTGGGGCTGGTTGAACCCCCAGTTTCCTGCTTTCTTCTCCCAATGATGTTGGATCCACACCATTTTTGCTGCCTGAAATCTCATTTCAGTACATAATCTACTGTAATCGCAATGATTCGCCAGTTTGTCCGATGTTTAGCTGACAACTTACGAACTCTTCGTAATCCCATCCAGTCCCATCCCCTCAAAAACCACCTGCAGCTGGGTTCCCAAGATGTCTCCCCGGCGGATCCGCACCTTCCCAGCCACCGGCACATCGAAACACCTTACCTCCGAATGGTTCTCGTCCCATGAGGCCCTCATTGATGGAGCCATGGACCTGGGCGCCGTCAGTCTGGCTATGTTTACCAAGAAAAAGTGTAAAAATCCCAAAAACTGCCTGAAGTGAACTAGGATTCTGAAAAAAAAACAACAGATTGGGGAGTTGACCAGAACAAACTTGAGGGGGTCGACCAAAGACAATAGCCAGCACTTAATGTAATAGCCAGTTGTGGATTTCACTGACCAAACATTTGGGGGCTAAGAAACCAAGAGTTCAGGGGTTGCCCAACAAAAATTGGAAGGCAAAAATGACCATTGTACCAGTAAGCAACTACAGTAGTTTTTGACTCTATATATATATATACGTATATATATATATATACGTATATATATATAATCGAGAAAGGAGACTTGACGAGCGAGCAGTGATGCATGAGTCAACATTTGGTGTCCCAAGATAATGCATGGTTTCAACCAAAACAAAGTCGGTGGTTCAAAGGGCATTCAGGTTTAACCCGCTAAACGCTGCTGATCTTGAAACCTAGGGCAACTCACCAATGTGAATGACTGCAAGTTTACGTGAGTCCCCCTCTTCATGATATTTATGGTGATCGGTTTCGGGCTACAGATGTTACAGAAACAAAGGGTCCGGAATTGTTTGGGGTATTTGTTTTTCTCCTTTTTGTTTTTTTTTTGTGGATTTCCTGTTCTGACAATTTTCATTGTTATTTGCAGCATTTTGGAGTTGGAAGGTGCCATTTCAACGGTATTTGCAACATGTTTGAGTTCGAACCGCTAATTTTCCATGGAATTTGCCACATTTTGGCACTCGAACTGTTCATGGAACGTGGTACCTGGTAGCTTGCAACTAGGATTCATTTATGGTTGGTTTTAGGGTTAGTTTAGGATTTCTGTTAGGGTTGATTTTAGGTTTTTAAGCGGTGGTTTTAGAGTTTGGGTTTGTTTAGGATCTATTTAGGGTTGGTTTTAGGATTTATTTAGGTTTGGTTTAAGATCTATTTAGGGTTGGTTTGGGATTAAGGTTTAAGTGTGTATCCGCCAACACAGGTTGGCGCCTAAGGCAAACCTGGGCAATAAGTATCACCCTTGAAAGTAAAACCTTTTTGGTCACGCCCTAAACCCTGATTCTTAAGTTTTTCCGTCTAAGAAAGATTACCTTTTAACTTTGCCCCTGCCTTTCGTTTAGCCCGGACCTAGTTTTTCCTAAGCCGGCCCTCCTCGCCTAGCCCCCTTGTTTAAACTGCCCGGGCAGCCCTTTCTAAGCGGGTTTTGTGACACCCCCCCTTCCTCAGCCGGCCCCTTTCTAGGCTGCCTTTCCTACTTTCCAAGACATGTTTTTTTCCTCCATTGGTGAACCGCCGCCTTTCTAAGCGGCCCCTTTTCCAGCGTAGGCAGCCCTAAGCAGAGAAGCAGAGAAGCAAAGAAGGAGAAAAGCAGTAAAACACAGACAAGCAGAGAAGCAGGCCAGCAGGGAAAAGCGGAGAAGCAAAGAAGCAGGGAAAAGCAGAAAAGCTGAAAAGCAGCAGAGAAGCTGGGAACCAAAAAAAAGACGGAAAAAACGATAGTCCTCCGATTAGACATATATAACTGGTGAAATCCCAGCATGACTGGCTTGCCAATCCTCGCTTGTCAATCAGGAATCATTACCTGAAAGTTGAGCTGTTGAACTTACCTGGAAGAAACGGGAAGAAATGTCGGTTTTGTGACCTCTGCGCCACAGCAGAGCGGGATATGGGTGTGGGTCAGAATCCCAATACCCAATCTGAACATCTGAAAAAGAATCTGTACTACGAAAATCCATGATAATACCCAGTATATATATATATATTGAATGTTACAGCCCCCTATAATCATGTATAATCAACAACTGTTGAGAAGTTGATCCATCCGGAATCTGAACAAAACCCCACCAAAGAAACTTGGGCCGAGGTGCTGGTAGAGTTCTGGGCTGGGGGACAACTTGTCTTCCACCCAATTGCTCTTGCCTCCTGGCGTGATCAAGTTGGTGAAAGCTGAAGCACACTGGGAATGGAATGTCCCATGCCTATTTGACCTGGCCCCGCAGCGATCCCAACAGGAGAAACATCTGCCCAGTGACCATAGCCGCCGATGCCATTGAGCCAGGAGAGTTCGAACAAGGTCACAAACTTTTCATGCGACCATTCGATCACGACCTCGGCGTCAAATCAGATGGCAATTGGAAATCTCCATTCTCAATGGGAGAAGATATGTGGGATTTTCTGCCGGGATATATCACCGGAAGGGGAATGAAGTCATGATCGGTGGTTTAGGATTTTGAGAACACCTCATGGAAGGAATGATCGCTACTGGCTATCGCAAAAAAAGAAGGAAAAAAAGCTACTAGACTAGAGCAACATTCAAGTGGCTTGTCAAAATTGGATACCAAAAAAAAGATGATGCTAATGCTGAAAAAGTCGGATATGGCCTTCCATGCAGCATGTAGGCCCAAAAAAAATAATAATAAATGGCCTCACTCTGCATCTGATGAAAGAGATGTCAAGTTCAAGGGGTTCTCAAATCTGAGGCACATCAACAAATGTTATATAAAGCTCGATGAAGGATGACATACTAAGCACATCTAAGTACTAAGTATGGCTTTGTCTGAAATAGGACAAACCTCCATTTAAGATGCTTCATTTGATCCCAAATTTCTCCATTAAAAATCATGAAAAGAAAGAAAAAACATTTAAAAAAATATTTTGGTGGATAAATCCCCCACTTTCCGGAGAAACCCACCCAGCTCGCAAGATCTCAGTGGCCGCTGCATGCCAGGTCTGCACGTCCCTCAAGGTCTCGACGCGGTCCACCTCAGCGCTTGAAGCTGGCGAAATGGGAGAACCCCCAGGAACAAATGGTTGGAGCAAGGACAAAGGATATCGTTGGCCAACCACTTCGCACCTCCCAATTTGGTGGGTGACCGCTCAAATCCACCATCCAACAAGGTTATCCCGGTAGTATCAACCAAGGTACAGGATAGCGGTGAACCAAGTAGTGCACTTTTTGCGCCTGAACAGGTGGCTACGTCGGCTACGTTTTCCTCCTTTTTACATTGCCAATTGGCAACCCAGATTGACCAAGTACAACCCTGTGAACCACCATGTTGATGGGTTCAAACCATCTTCAAACCTCGCTCTTTCCAAGTTTAAAAATGTTCCATCTTCGGCTATCTGGTAAGCTTTTCAGCCACCGAAATCTCGATCGCACCCAGCCCCACCCAGCCTGTCCCTCTGCTCCTTGCAGCACCTCCACGAGATTTTCCCCAAAGACCACCCCACACCCCACGCTGCCACCACAGAGGGCAGAGGGGCTGAACCACCACACGAAACCAGGTGACCGCTTGGACCAGCCCTGCATCGGGCTGGGATGAACCCTGCAGTGGTGAACATGTAATTTGTTGGCAACTGGCATAAATAACATGCAGCGAGACGGTTTCAATTCCCCAAAAAGTAACCATCACAAATCTATGAATGTCAATGGATCATATTTTATTTGTTGGAATTCTTCAGCATTGCATAAAAACGACAATTTCGAACAAAACATAAACCATCAAAGCAGTTCACCATCGGGCAAAAAAAAAAACATCCCATCAAAAACAACATAGGGTACCCACCCATACATTGGCGGTTAATCCCCTATTTCAAGGGCGTCTAAATTGGAAGATGCATGGTCAAAACTTAAAGGTTACCAAAATCAGTCGGTTGGTGACCTGAAGGTGTGATCCATAAATTCCCTGACTCTTGATGGCAAAAATCACAATTTTAATGCCTCAATTTTAATGCCCAAGCCCCAATGTTCATAGTTCAAATCATTAAATCCAAATCTTGCTATAAATCCATATAAATCCCAAGTTTTCCTTCTTCTTTTCTGCAAAAACTTCCCACTTTTCCCCAAAAATCCAAGCACAGGGCCTTCTTCTTCCAGCTGGGCGAGAGAAAGGTAGCCTCGCAGGTCTCGGGCAGCGCCTCTGGGAGTTCCCGGCGATCGTGGCAGTTCCACAGGCATTTCATCCCCAGAAAAAGTCCTGCGAAAAGGGGCGACTCGAGATGGAGATCATGTGAATTCTATACAGTATATGTAACTTTTTGTTGTAAAATAATATGTATAAAATAATATATATATATATATACGTACGTACATATAACACATTATGTATGTATGTATGTATGTATGTATGTGTATGTATATGTATGTGTATGTATGTGTGTGTATGTGTGTGTATGTGTGTGTATGTGTGTGTATGTGTGTGTATGTGTATGTATGTGTATGTATGTGTATGTATGTGTATGTATGTGTATGTATGTGTATGTATGTGTATGTATGTGTATGTGTATGTATGTGTATGTTGTATGTATGTTTATGTATGTATATGTATGTATATGTATGTATATGTATGTATATGTATGTATGTATGTATATGTATGTATATGTATGTATGTAGGTATATGTATGTATGTATGTATATGTATGTATATGTATGTATGTATGTATATGTATGTATATGTATGTATATGTATGGATATGTATGTATATGTATGTATATGTATGTATATGTATGTATATGTATGTATATGTATGTATATGTATGTATATGTATGTATATGTATGTATATGTATGTATATGTATGTATGTGTATGTATGTGTATGTGTATGTCTATGTCTATGTATATGTATATGTATATGTATGTGTATGTATATGTGTATGTCTATGTCTATGTATATGTATATGTATATGTATAGGTATAGGTATAGGTATAGGTATAGACTTCTGGATATGTGATGACATGTGAAGATATCTGATGCACCATGATATTGGATATTTGATAGGATGGGGTCATTCCAATGCTCTTGGGCGAGTGGGGAGGGCGTCATGATGGACCAGCCCCTTCTCCTAGAGGTCCACTTTGCTTCTGATCGATGCTGCGTAGTTCCAGGTTCACCAAACTGGGCCATCCGTTCAGGGGCCCTGCCATGGGATGACAGGATGACTGCCATGGGACTCAGAAATATGCAGAAATACCATAGCTATTGAAAATTGCCATTTATAGTGGATTTTCCCATTAAAAATGTTGAATTTCCATAGTTATGTTAATTTACCAGAGGGTATCCAAATTTCTCCTCAGGGGTTGATTTAAGGTGTCACCTGGACCCTGCCCTCAAGACATCCTTCAACAAGCTGGTGTTCGACTGGTTTTGCAAATGTTGGTGAGCAGAAACATGACCAAAATATCCAGAGCATCATGGCTTCCAGGAAATTCGTGCAGGTACTGCCTTTTGGGAGCCATTGCTATCTGCTTTCCTCGAAAGATCCCTTCTGACATTGGTACGGATTGGCAGGCATCGGTGGGCACATTGGTAGGGATTTTGTTTACACATCGCAAGCCATTGAGCATCGCTGTCCTTTTGTGTAGCAGCTGAGACAACGGCTGGAAAACATCATGATGACATCCTGATGACATCCTCCCATGGCACCTGGAAGAATCCAATGATCCCCAACTCGTTGCAAGTCTCTGAGGAGTTCCTCGAAGACAAGGGAGATCTGGGAAAGGTGATTTCTATGGTTTATGAAGTTTATGGCAGATGTATCATGATATATCTATAGTTAATGAGTTAAATGGCTTTATAAAGCAACTTAGCTATCTCGGGCCTCACCTTGTAGGTGTTGATGTTTGCGGGTTCCTTTCAGGGCGTTTGCTGTAATCCAAATGGGCAAACTGAATAAGTTGAGCAAAATAAGGAAAGGTCTTGACACCAACCCAGCTGGCAACAAGGATATTGTGGTCCTAGTGGTGTTTTCCATTGCGCAATCAGCATGCAGGGTAACTTCTTGGATGAAGAGCATTTGCATACTGGATGTTTTTTTCATGCCAAATCAGGAAGGGAAACAATTCAAAGGTCAAATGTTAATGAATCTGCCATGTTTGAGGAGGAAAAAAAAAGACAACATTTTTCTGACCGCCAAGACACCGATTCGCGGATCACTGGAATGGGTCGTCTGGGTTTCACATCGCCATTTGGCAAACAATCCTGTGGATGAATGAAGTCATCTGTGAAGACCTCAGTGCCGCGCTTGGCAGTCTAAAGGTGTTTGCCTAAAGAAGTGGACTATCTCAAAAAAAAAGAGCTAGTTTGAAGCTACAACGGGGTCAAGCCTTGAACTACTCAATGTTTTGCCCGGTCTCTTTGAGGCAATGGAGTTTAGAAGTCTACCAGCAGTCTACATCAGCTCTCTCCCATGCAAAATGCCCTGATAGAGCCTCTCTGGACAGATGAAACTGACGCATAAGGCTTCAAGGACATGCCAAATAAAACAAATATCAACAAATCAATTGATGAAAGGGGCCGAAAACATCCAACAAAAATCCAAAAACAGATTCAAGTTCACAAGCCAAAAAGAAAAACACAACAGGCGCCTTACAACGCTAAGCCAGACGTTAGCCTTCGAACGTCACCATCCCCAGGATGCCGAATAGTTTGAAGGCACGAGCGGCCAAGAGTGCTCCGTTTTAAGCCTTTGGGTCATGTAAGCCTTCAAAATCCTTCAAAGGCTTTCATTGCCAAATGTGCTTCAAACGTCATGAACCACGAAATGCTGTGAAAAGCATAATGTCCAAATGGTTTTAAATGGCACGAGCCCCAAAAAGTATGAACACGACATGGTTTCAAAGGCACAAAAGTGCGAGCCTGAAATCGCTGCGAAAAAAACACGTTTGAAATGGCTTGTAAACGGAAAGCGCCAATGAAACGGATTATAGGCATGCCCCCAAGAACGATGAAAAAACATAAGCCTGAAATGCGTTGTGAACCTTGCGAGCCACAGGGACCCTGAAATGCTATGAACAACCATGAACCTGTAGTGGCTTGAAGGCAAAAAACCAGAAAACCGGAAAATATGAGCCTGACAATATGGTTTCGAAGCAGGAGCCCCAGAGGGCCGGAAAAATATGAGCCTGTAATGGCTTCGAAGTACGAGCCCCAGAAGGCCGAGATTTATGAGCCTGAAATGGCTTCAAAGAACGAGCCCCAGAAGGCAGCATGAAATGGTTTCGAAGCAGGAGCCCCAGAGGGCCGGAAAAATATGAGCCTGTAATGGCTTCGAAGTACGAGCCCCAGAAGGCCGAGATTTATGAGCCTGAAATGGCTTCAAAGAACGAGCCCCAGAAGGCCAAAAATATGACCATGAAATGGCTTCAAAGTACGAGCCCAAGAAGGCTGAAAAACATGAGCCTGCAATGGCTTCGAAGTAAGAGGCCCAGAAGGCCAAAAATATATGAGCCTGAAATGGCGTCGAAGCACGAGCCCCGGAAGGCCAGAAAATATATGAGCCTGAAATGGCTTCGAAGCACGAGCCCCGGAAGGCCAGAAGAAATATGAGCCTGAAATGGCTTCGAAGAAGGAGCCCCAGAAGGCCGAAAACATATGAGCCTGCAATGGCTTCGAAGTACGAGCCCCAGAGGGCCGGAAAAATATGAGCCTGTAATGGCTTCGAAGTACGAGCCCCAGAAGGCCGAAAACATATGAGCCTGCAATGGCTTCGAAGTACGAGCCCCAGAGGGCCGGAACTTATTAGCCTGTAATGGCTTCGAAGTACGAGCCCCAGAAGGCCGAGATTTATGAGCCTGAAATGGCTTCAAAGAACGAGCCCCAGAAGGCAGCATGAAATGGTTTCGAAGTATGAGCCCCAGAAGGCCAGAAAAAACCTGAGCCTGTAATGGCTTCGAAGTACGAGCCCCAGAAGGCCGAAGAATATGAGCCTGAAATGGCTTCAAAGAACGAGCCCCAGAAGGCCAAAAATATGACAATGAAATGGCTTCAAAGTACGAGCCTGTAATGGCTTCAAAGCACGGTCACCAGAAGGCCGAGATTTATGAGCCTGCAATGGTTTCAAAGCACGAGCCCCAGAAGGCCAGAAGAAATATGAGCATGAAATGGTTTGAAAGCTTGAGCCCCAAAAGACGGAGAATTATGAGCCTGAAATGGCTTGGAAGCACGAGCCCCAGAATGCCGGAAAAAATATGAGCCTGCAATGGCTAAGGCCAAAAATATATGAGCCTGAAATGGCGTCGAAGCACGAGCCCCGGAAGGCCAGAAAATATATGAGCCTGAAATGGCTTCGAAGCACGAGCCCCGGAAGGCCAGAAGAAATATGAGCCTGAAATGGCTTGGAAGAAGGAGCCCCAGAAGGCCGAAAACATATGAGCCTGCAATGGCTTCGAAGTACGAGCCCCAGAAGGCCGAAAACATATGAGCCTGAAATGGCGTCGAAGCACAAGCCCCGGAAGGCCAGAGGAAATATGAGCCTGAAATGGCTTCAAAGAACAAGCCTCGGAAGAAGGCCAAAAATATTAGCATGAAATGGTTTCGAAGTACGAGCCCCAGAAGGCCGAAAAATACGACAATGAATGAGCCTGTAATGGCTTGGAAGCACGAGCCCCAGAGAAATATAAGCTTGAAATGGCTCTTGCACAAATGGCCTCAAGGCACAAGCCCCGGAAGGCTGTAAATTTGAAACAGCTTGGGCCCTGAAGGCCGGGAAAGCGTTTGTTATGAAAATGTGAGCTTGAAATCCCTCATGATCATCAGCCCACAAATGAAGCAAACAGCATGTAGACAGCAGGCGCCGATGCCTCCCAAGAACGCTGAAAAACATAAGCCAGAAATGGGTTGTGAACATTGCGAGCATCGGAGAGCCCGAAATGCTGTGAGGATAAACTCAAAAACCATGAGCCTGTATTGGTTTGAAGCCCCAAAAGGTGAAATGGTTTCAAGATGTTTCAAGCCGATCCCCAGAAGGCCTGGAAACACACGCACACGTGCGCACAGTCTTAGTGATTCTGGTGCAGCTATATGGCACTGTGGCATCACGATGCCGCTGTTTGCTGTATCTGTCAACCAAGACTGGAAGAAATCGACCAAATACGACATAATCTGCTGAAATCTCACTTCTCCAACTACCATCTTACAAACCAAGCAAAATTGTCACTACAAGGAAAAGGAATTTGGGGTGTAGGGCATCCACAAGAATAAAACATCCCCAATTTGTGACTTATGAAATTGTGTATACCCCTACAAACGGAATGATCTATCGTATCTAGCCCCCACATGCCCCCCTGTTTACGTTTCTAATTGGGGATGGCTCACAATAATCGTCCAAATCATAATTGTTGGCAACACAATAAGAAGCACAACAGGAACAATAGCCCAACACTTGACCACATTTTCAGACGACCTGAGCTTCCAGACCTTCACTTGGGTTTGGACACCGTCCTCATGGTCACCTGGAGAATCTGAAGGGAGAAATTGGTTGGCCATTTCAACCAGCCATTGAAAGTGAATAAGTGGGGATCACATGGAATAAGTGGGGATCATTTTAATTTCAAGTAGAAACTTTGGAACATGTTTTGAGCATCCATGTGTGGATTCTTGGACTGGGGCAGTCTTGCGTCTTGGCGGTGGGTTGAAAGTGGGTTGGGACAAAACAATGCGCAGATCACAAAGCTCTCAACATCCCAAACACCAACCCTGAAAATCAATGTGGCTTGGTTGGGACTCTGAGAAGTCTGGCAGACATCCAGTTAGCCCAAGATTTACTAGTCACACCGGCGTCACATCAACGCCACGGGGCTCAGATCAATCGAGGAGACGTCGAAGGGTCCATCATCCAGATTCACGTGCCTCAAAAAAACAGCTCTAGACATGAAAGGAAAAAATGCAAAGCTATGATTTTGGAAAATATTGCTGTTGGGATACAATCTTTCTTAATGGGAAATGTATCCCATGTTGGTGATGCAAAAAGAAAAAAGAGTGCCCCAACAAATAGATGTATATACTTCCAATCTCCAGTTTATCTAGACCTATACATTTACCGGGAGATTCTTCCAACTGGATCTATTTTCCATCATCCTTGTTCCTCTAAGCCCCTATTTTTGCAGGTCCCAATTTTACCCCTTCGCTTTCCCGCCTTAACTCATCCAGCTCTTCTCGTGACCCTGAAGCTCCTTCGAGCTTAAGCTAGGACATGCAAGTCATGCAGCCATTGGTGTTGAAACAACCCTTCAATAAATAGACATATCGACCAAGACTGGGATAGAACATCATATATTTCGTCTCATGGAACATCATGCTTCATCGTGCTTCATCATGGGTATTTCAACAAACTTGATCTGGTTGCTGCTTGGAAGTGTCAGACCCACAGCAGTTAGTCGTAACTGGATGCAACCTCCATCCCGCTGGCGGCCCAGCGGAACACAATGGAATCTGTCTTTCAAAGCCTGGAGTGGCAGTCAGCCTGCCATATTTAACCCATAATAATTCTGAGTGATTATGGTCAAAAAATCAATGCCAAATAATGCCAAAAAGTTGTGGCCAAAATCAAGCCATTGACTGCCTAAGATCGTTTAGCACTAGAAGTGACTGGTTGTTGAGGAGCTCTCCACACAGGAGATTGTCCTGAGGCTTGGGTGGATGGAGAGAGCTCAGGCTCGGTCATGGTACATAGGGTCATGCACCAGCGCAGCCACCATGGCAGGTCGCGCAGACGTCATGAAACCTGCGGTGCTCTGAATCCACGGAATTTTGAGGTCATGGTAACCATGATGCTCTCCCCATGAATCTTAGGAAGGCATCTTGGTATCTTCCATGAGGGATGCACAGTATCTATCTGACCAGTTAGATAAACAGCAAGGCAAGTCGCAATAATGAAGTTCTGCCACAATTCAGTCAAGTCAACTCTACCCCAGCTTGAAAGCCAACTTAAAATTTGAAAACAGTTTTGCTGTGCAATTGACTCATTTTTCAAGTCCGCCGGTGATTTTCTCCCAAAGACCTCAACAATTGGATTCATTTTGACTCCACCATGTGCAAAGGCTCTTTGAGCCAACAGCTACAAGGGCAGCTCTGGCGAGCCCTGGGCATGGTGGCAGTCAAACCGCAGGATGTGAACCGATGACTATGCCCTAAGATTATTAGACACAAAAAAAAAAATGACATGCCCATGTGTTCTCTTCTCCGTCTCATATCGTCATTTGAGACAAATGCTGCAATAAGTGTGCGAAGATCCCCCCTCCTGGCAGACTTTCTTGTTGGCCACCATTCGGCCCTGCCAAGCGCGTGGACCAGTTCAAGAGTAAGGAATCGTTGGGTGCTGGGCGTACACCCTTTATAACTCTACCCACTTGAGATATTCTGGGTGTCTTCCAGAACATTCAGAGCCTGATACAGTATCTGTCACTGAATTGTGGTCCTATATCTACAGGAGCATAATATCACTTAAAAACATGCCAAGTTTGAGGTTCAAAGGTACCCGAAATTGGGCGGTTGGCTGCTCAAAATGACCCATGATTATTGCAAAATGTAGTTTTCATGGCAATCTAGACCTATACCCAAGTCCATTAATTTTCTTCACATTCTTGTCTGAAAATCAAGTACCCAGGTACCAAAAAATCCAATGGTTTATTCTGATGTTCTCCCTTGAATAGGCGCCTTGTTCATTGTTGCCGCAATATTTTGACAAACAAACATTTGGACTGGAAAGTTGCAAACAACATTCAAGAAAAATGACTGCTGCCATGTTTAGTGGTCTTTTTGCCAATGTCTTTTTTTGTCCTTGGCGACTTTCTCCCAGCCTTGCCTCCGACGCTGCTCGCTTTCTGGGTGTGGACAGCGAACCCTTCTTCCTAGCTCTGCATCATCTTCGCTTTAGAGTTTATCGAGACACTATATAATGGAATGTAATGAGATTTTAGTCAATTTCAGTCAGTTATATAGTATGGCTGGATTGTAAATTATAATCAATGGAATTTATAATAATAGGATGTAATGTGAGATGGTTTGCAACATGGGTTTTTATTGTTGATGTACATCTCCATAGTATGGGATATAGTATATACGGTATATAAACAGGATTTGTACCAGTACACCAACAATGGGATGTGAGGATATTTCAGTTGGTTTTACCTGGCAGTACTGCTTTGTCCAAACATGAGATCTTAATTTATCAAAATCCACTGATTGCAAATCGTATACGTCATGAAACACTGCCATAAAAACGGATCCCACCTTCAAGGTGGAAAGAAACCTATCTGGCACGATGAGAAACGGTTGTTTTGTTGCCAAGTCACCAGATGAAAAGGACCATTGTGTTAGCCAATGTTGAAGATCTCTGTCTCAACATTGGGTCCCCAAGAAATGAGACACTTTACTACCTGTTTAATTTATACTAGTACAATGTTGGTAAAGCAATAATGAACTATAATAAATGTTCATGGTTTATAGTTTATAGTTTATAGCACCCATAAAAATGGTGATTGGGTTATCTTACTTTTAAACGAAATGCCAACTGAAGCACGATTTATGTTGCCCCAAGCCCGACTCCAACGTTCCTGAGGCGAACCAAGTATTCCGCCACCTCGGGGCACACTGGCCTCGGAGAAATGGATGTGTCTGAATTGGACAAATTGCTAGAGGATAGATGTACGTATCTTAGATATCTTAGATACCCTGCAGAAAGAAAAAAGAGCCAAGCTGTACCCAATACGTTTCACAAGAAGGGTCCCAGATTTTACCCATTTTGGCGGGATTTAGTGGGTAAGGATATCACCTGAAGTATCACTTCAATGCTGGTGCAACTCCCACACAGCTGGATGCAGGTACCCCCAAGCAGCATGGGAGCTCGCAAACCACCTTAGACCTACGTTCACTGCCCAAACATGATGGCCCCTGAAAACCGGATAAAACCAGGACTTGGAGAAAATGCTGGTTTTGGGCAAAGGAATCTGTATTTTGTTGACCATGTTGACCTCCAGGTCTGAATCTTAGCATCCTGAGTTTGGTACTGCACGATGTTCAGATATGCCTCGAGCCTCGTGACTCCGGCAGTGTGAAGCTTCATGCTGGAGTTTCTGTTTGACATGGGCATGGTTTCTCCAAAAGCTAGCTCAAGACTAAGATTTACGGTCAAGCGTTGCGTTTTCCATTTGAGACAGTCCATTTGGAGCACGTTTCGGGTGCACAAGTTGGACACCAAGCACATGTGGGACTAAAAGGAAGACTAATTATCTACTTAAGGTTCCAGCTATGGTTTCTCACAAGAAATTGGGATTGAACATGTCCTGGTCTCGTGAAACAAAGCATTTAAGCAAAAAAGGGCTCAAGAGCATGAACTGCGAGGGCATGGGAGCGGTACCAAGAAGCCACGGCTAAGAGAGATAGTTGAAGGGCCCCGTAAAAAACATAAAAACATACAGAAAGTAAGGATCTTGCCAAAATTGCGCTGAAGGCAAGAAGAGAAGCACAAGACAAAGGAACAAGAAGCTGGCAAGGTGGAAATGCGCCAAAAATCGCTGGAAGGTGCCAGACAACCAAAAGGCCTTGCAAATCACACCGGGATTTCTTGCAGTCAGTCTGGATAGAAAATTCAAGTGTCTATCAGAGTCTATCATAAGAAAAAAAAATGGTAATGAATGGTCAGTGTATACGAATGTCCGCTTGTAGCAAAGTAGAGCCAGCACGCGCAAATCTGGAGGAGTGTATGCCGCAGCAAGGTATTTAGTCAATTTTCGTAAGATCTTCATCTTCCTGAAAAAAGGAAAATAAAAAAGGACCACCTTCAAAATGGATCTGGACTTTGGACATCAGCATATCTTCATAGCTGTGTTTATATATTATATATGTATTTATATATATATATATGATCTATTGTGTCTGCCACCGCCTACCAGCGCCTTCGGACACCTTCCCCGGCACCTCAAATTTTCATAGATCCGTGGCCACCGGGAGGCTGCCTGCCCAATGCGTCCCCGCTCCGTTCCCCAAAACCAGAAATGGCCGGTCTGGGCCAATTTTATTTGGGAACCCAACTCCGTCTTCACAATCTCTGGATGTCATGGCCTGTTTTTTTTTTAAACTGCAAGACACGGATGATTTCATTCAAGTTTCATGATTAGGCCCATTGACCCCTGATTCATACGCCCAGCTCATAGGCCCATTGACCCCTGATTCAGACGCCCAAAGCTTCAGAGAGCCAGCTCGCCACCTAGCCAGCAACCATCCATTCCCACGATTCTGCCCAACCTCTTTCCACCACTGCATTCCTTGCTCATTGTGCTCAATGGCCCGCACAGGCCGCGGCGGCCGCACAGGCCATGGCCCTTGTGGTAGATCAATGGCCTAGAGGCATCCCCATGACCCTTGCGGGGAAAGGTTTTAGAACATGGGCGTTCATATGGCCGTTAACATTGGGAACACCCACGGACTCGAAAAAAAGTATATGAATACAAGGCATTGGAAAACTATCATCTCGGTGCAAGCTTGATGCACCCCAGCTGTCCACAAAACAAGAAAGAAGTTCTGGTCTCCTCGTCTTGAAGAACATGAAGATATATCCAAGGGTTAACAAAACAAAAATGCTCAAGCTGAGACCTCTTGTGGCGATTCAGCACGTCTCCTCCGAAAGAAGGTGCAGGACAAGATATAGAACAGTCATCTCGGGGTGACCTAGAAGTTCATTGAGATGAAATTGGACCCCATTCCAAAGTAGTATGGGCCCAGTGTTGTGGATAAGAACTTGCTTAGAGGCCTCACGTGTTGACAAAGGGGGTTAGACATTGTGCGAAAGTGTTCAACATGTGTCAACATGTTTATTTGGGATCCTGTCAAATGTCAAAGGTGGATTATGATCAGGAATAATATTAAGGATGATATGAGGATTTAGGTCACCAATTTTACCTAGGTTTGATCAAAGCTAAAATGAAGTGTGTTGAAACAATCATACACAGTCAAAGCACAATGGAAATGACTCAGATATTACGAATCCTGGAAGGCTTGAGCACGTTCAATTTTCTATGTCTTGGTCTTTTCCAGCCTGATGATGACTAGCATCATCAATGAAGTGATGCAGCAACCACCATCAGCATCATGTTTGTTATCAGTGACAGTATGTCATAAGTATAGATCATTCTACACATCATGATTCTTGTTGCTGTGTCATCAGTACCATGGGTCCTTTCTGGTGAATCCTGGCAATAGACCGCATTCCCTAGTTTACCTCTACTATAATCTACTATATATATATATGGGTTGATCTGAAAATCAAACTACTTCTAAATCCTCTCGTTAATCCTCATTTTCCCATTCAATTGACGATTTCATGGGTGAAAAATGCATCCATCCACCTGGATCCCACAGGTGAAGCCGCTACGCTCAGCTCGTGGTCACCTCAGAAATTGCCCAGCGGTCGCATCACGAAAAGGTGGGAAAATCTCATGTAACTTCCATTTATATAATTTATATCCGTTTCATTCCGTTTCTATCATTCCATTTGTATCCATTTGACCATAGTAAAGGCGCAAATAATACTTCTCCCAAATTATTCTTGGGGCCCGCCCAACTTGGTTGCTTGAATCTCACAGCCTCAAGTCACTTAAGTCCCCATCTAAAAACAGTTTCAACTCCTGCCGCCGTCCAAGCCTGACTCGGCCGTTCCGTCCGCCGTTTCGGAGGACGAGGGCCTTAAAATTTCGGGAAACCACCCGTTCTGGTGACATTAAATAATGAACAACCATGACAAATCATGATTTTGTTGGAATCTCGGCTATTTTCGGACAAACCCTAATCTTGAGATGGGTCAAGACATTTTGGAACTGAGCCAGGGTGAACTGATCACCGTGATACATAATGATCCACTATGCGCATATGCAAAAAAAAAAAAGTTGCCCTTCAGCCATCGTTGATTCGTCATTGGAGTTGGTTTACAGGGAAAACAAAGCAGGAAACCATGGTCCTGATGTTTACCACAAGATCTTGAAGCTTGCTATTTAAGTTCCATTGTACGGTGAAGTCCAGCCCAAGCCAGAAATGAGCTGGGATAGGCACTTGGAAAATCCCTTGCAATGGAATCAATGGAAGGTTGGGGATGCTTATGATCTCAGCATATCCCAACTCAGGATTGCTGATGGTTTCTTGGGCGCAGGAAAGGACTTCCTGTGATCATTAGGGCCACAACGCAGCTGATCCACTTAAGTCCTCCAGGTCAGTTGGCATGGGCCCAGACTGGAAATCAACGTGAGAATCAGGTTGACTCACTCATTGTTTTTACAAAACGTGCCGAACAATGGTAATACCCTGACCAACCTGTCTTGGATTCAGGACGATCCAGGTTATTAATGTTTCCGTATCAGACAGTCGTATCCAAAATATCCACTCACTTGAACTAGCACCCCACATTTGTTTGGATTCCTGATTCCATCTCAAAGTCTTCCAAGTGGTTGGTTTGAGAGCATACCCACCCTTACAATAACATACGGGATTCTACATGTATGTTCCAACATGTGATACCCACTTTCCCCGGCTTTGGCCTCTGACTTCCCCTTGGGTCTCTCCAGAACGCGCTGCAGTAAAGCGGAGTGACCGACCGTCAAAGACATCTGGAGCAGGTCATACCACTGCATGCGAATGTGTCTAATGAAATCCTATCCCAATGACATTATATACAACCTCCGAAAGGCGGCCCAAAAATGAACACATCCCCAACTAATTAAAGGTGTCCAGGGCTATTAAACATGGGAAGGGACTATCTATTCCTACAGCGATCTTCTGCTCGATTGGTTCCGGAGATTTACCACCATCTCTGCAGCATTGTCTCCTGAAGCTTTCGGGGAGTCTGCACCATCCTGTATCCTCTTTCCACTGATCCTTGTTACAACGCACATTCAGGGATCCCTGACTGAGTTTGGAAGTTTAATAGGAATCTCGGAATCTCCGTCAACGGCTCAGGCTGCACCTCTTCAACGGGAGAGATGACTGCAGCCTCATGGACTATATTTCCCTCAATGAATTGGGTAGGTATCATTTGGCTCCATGAGCAGCGAACCCGAACTTGGAAGGGCGCATCGCAGCATCGTCAGCAAATCCAGGAATTTTGATTTGGTTCTATCCCCATTACCAAAAAAAAACATTATGGTTGTTTCTACTGTAATTGGGACTACCCAGTAATATACATCATGAAATCATTATAATCATTATATATGATTGTTTCTATATTATAGATCATTGTGGCTGTATTCCCATTTTGCTCGTGTTCTACCTACTGCCGTCACTAAGACACTCACCGGTGCTGTCTTTCCATGGGCACGTCGCCGCGGCCTCGCAATCTGCTTGTTTCACTGGATGGCCAAACTTTGGCACCTAGCTGGGTGATATGTGTGTTATTCCCCATGTTTAATATCTATATTTTTTCGCCAAGTCTACGAAAGTCATATACTGCAACCCTTTCCCCCTCACCAAGTTGACCAAAAAACAAAACGCCGCGTGGCCACAACAAGACGTCGTCACGCCTCTCCGTAGGATGCATAGAGGCCACCTGACATAGTACTGAATCTATTCATGAGGTGGGTCCGGTAAATGTCCAGACTGGGAGTACAAGACCTTCCTAGATCTCTGGGCGGATTGTGTTTCCACAAATCATGCATCATTCCCAAGAGCTACAGTAGCCTGAAATTTCACCCTCAGGAGCACACAAAAAAAGAAAAACTCAAACGTTTGGGATTTTTTGGGTGAAGGACCCACACGCAGGGGCCCTGCCGTTCTCAACCCCATCAAACAGAAGACTATATAGATATCTTTGGAATTCTGTAGATATATCCACCACCCAACAGTTAGCCTGCTGAGGTATAGGTCAACTGACCTATTCTTCGGGCCAGGCGTTTCGGCTGTGGCTTTCCCACCTTCGGCGTCTCGGAGTTCAGGAAAAGAGCAGCCTCAAAAGGAGGGAAAGACATGCTAAAATGCTGGGAAAATGGGAAAATTAACCATGTTTTTTTGGAGTAGCCTAATTTCAGACAATCTGAAATGGAAGAGGTTCATGTTCCTTTTTCCAGACCCCCCACAGTCCAGATTTGTGGACTTTTACTGACTCATCAACAGGTAGTTTGGGAAAACAAACTGACGCCTTCTTCTAAGTGACATCTTACTGCACAATGAGCACCTTTCGGATTTTTTTTTGTCATTTCCAGAGCATGCTGATACCCACACAGTCTCATCACTCAGTATATAGTTGCTATCTTCTCTTGCCAAGACCTCACTATGTTTCCTGCTCACTTCACTTGACAGGTGCGTTTTCCGCCTCCTCGAGGGATGAACACGCTTTGATCGCTTCAGCTATTTGCGCCTCAACAGTTGTGGAGCTTGGAATGACCCGCTAATTTTGTTGCGCGGCCTCATGGGATGTTCCATGTTTGCATTGAAACGCCATGCCAAAATCATCACAGATGCCAAGTGAATTCCAGGGATGCAAATGGATTCAGCATCTCCACAATGTGGTCATGAAAAAACAATCGCATCTCTACGCCACATCGCTGTGATTTTGTTTCGTGATTGCAAGTAAAAAAACACGAATGTTCGTAATTAGGTGATACTTCACGCCATGTAGTTCAAGGCAGTTCAAGGGTGTTTGTTGTGGGTGTTGGCTCCGGCCGTGTTGTGAAGGTGCTGTTGTTTGTCTTGTGAACGAGAAGACATCTGGCTCTGGCCAGGGGAGTTGTGTTTGTCGCCTCACGGATGTTGTGTGTCTGATACACCCGGCCATACAATACCAATTGGCCAATTGACCGATTTGTCAAGTGCATGTTCACAATTACGGATGGTTTTCGACAGTGGGGGAAGTGACAACTGTACTGTCCAGGTCATTCCACCTTGGAATCTCATGTTTAATTCCGTGCCTCAGTGCAGTTGGCCAACCCAGCAGAAAAAAAATAAACCACATCGATGTGATAATATGACAGGTCCATGTGCTGAGATGTGGTATCTATAGAATCTATAAATGCCCTGACATGTTTCCTGAAATGGTCATTACACTGCCAATCCCCTGGTCAACCCACCTCTGGATAGCCTCGCTCAAAGAGAACCACGGCAATGTCAACACCGTGAGACGTTTGCACCATCGCCTCGTCATCAAAGGGATGGACAGAATCATACTGGAAATTGGAAACCCCAACATTGGGCATATAAAAAAGACACACCAAACATGTGTCAATTGTTTTATTTTGGGAATAAATCAGTTTGACTAATCCTATGACAAAAATGTGTTTCTTTGTCAGGTGATTTGAATGGATCAATAATGTTCGTCGATTTTGAGTGATGAGGAAAAACAAAAAGAAAAGGAAAAACAATCGCACTCAAATTCAAACGGTATTGATAAGTTCCAACTGGTTTTGTTCATTCGTATTAAAATACCACGATACGCACAAAGTGGTGGAAACCGAATTGTAACGATTCGGCACTCTAGTGAACCTGACACAAGGGAATTCAAACAAATACCCCATCATGATTTTGTGTCGGCAATTACGTGCTCAACGTCCAAGATATGAACCTGAATGAAGCATATACATGCATATCTCACCAAAAAAACATAAATAGTTCCACAAACAACAAATTGATATTATAAAACAATTGTAATTTCCTGGCGAACATGTCGTCGGCACTGATGCTAGATTAAAATTGGTCGGGAATTCATCCCATAAATAGACAGCAGTGCGGATCTTCATCAATGGCCTCGTTTGCAACTGCTCGCCCAACAAACTACAGCGGATTCGCTCCTTTCAAACCCAAAATCCAATGGTTTCCTGTTTGATGCATGTTTTTCAGCAACAATATTATGGAACCGTTTCTCCAAAAAAAAATAACACCAATAACCTCATGTTGGTCCATCGGTTTCAATGACGTGAGTTACACCACCATAGTGGGATACCAAACACTAAAAAACACATTCAAAAAAACCTATCCTGTGACAATACACAACCATTTGACACTACGTATGCAGAAATGCACCATGAAAATAAAGTGGTTCTTCTACTTGGGACAAATTTTCAAATTGTCATGGGCATGCAACATTTTTCAACCAATATAGGCGGACAATGTTGACGGCAAACAAAATTTGAAGATCCAATTTTTGAAGTTGATGTGAGTCTGCAAGTTTAAAAATGTGACGAATACAAACTGCAATGGTATTTGATGAAACGCTCACAGTTGAAATAATGCGCATTGAAATGCATAAACGTTGTTCCTTCCAAAAATACGCGCACATTCATAAAATCAAGACGTCCACTTTCAAAACCACCGTGCAAATGAATATACCAATCACAACAGCCCCAAACCGAAAGTAAACATATGTAAACACTTGTAAACATATCAAAAATACAATCAAAAAAAATATCCGCAAACAATCAAACAAAATTATCCCGACAATAAAAAAAGGGGCATGGCATGCACGCAGGTAGGGAAGCAAAGCGCAAGGAGGAGGAGGAGGAGGAGGAGAAGGAGGAATGCAAAGAAATCGGATGCACGGACAGCTCTCTGTTTTCCTACGCAAGTTTGGGCCTAAGGTCCATGACATTTTGCCATGAATGTCCATGCCACCGCAAAGCTTCTGAAGATTACACTTCTCGATTTGTGTTTGTTACACTGTGTCAACACAGCCATGAGCACTGCTAGCAAAGTTTTGCACTCCTCCTCAGACTTTTACCAGCACACGCTCAACGGTCTGTATGACACTTTGTTTATCTGCGGATTTTCCTTGAGTTGAAAGCGCCTCAAAAGTCTCACCATGTTACACTGCTCGATTTGTGCAGTGTCAAATGACAAACATGACTGCTATGGCATGTACATGTACTGATGCAAGGTGCGTTACATTTCTGCACCCCGCCTCAGACTGTATTTCTAATACTAGTCTGTACATTCCTAGTCTCACCCCTTAGGACTGTAGATAGTCCGTCATTTCACTTCTATTGGGGTTTTTCTGCGCTAAAAATCTGTGCACTGGATCCCACAAATGGCTCTCAATCTAGCCAGTTATGGAACCACTTCTGTGGCGCTGCCTAATCCACGCTCAGAATCCTCTCAGAATTCCATGGGATCGTTTGTAGTCCCATCCATTGCATCGTCTCCACTGTCATCTTCTTCTGGTGGTCCGTAATGAACTGTAGCCCAGAGATCTGGGTCTGATACTTCACATTGCTCTGAGTCTCTGTACCTTTGCATCTTTTCCTCGTTGGTCTCTTCCAAAGAGCTTTCGGGGCTTGGTGGAGTTCTGAGTGCAACTCCAATTCCACGGGCCAGCTCCACCACGTTCTCGAACCTCTCAAGCTCGAGGAGCTTCACCACTAGGTGGAAGATCTGTCCATGGGTTGCAGCAAGTAGTTCACGCTCCACCACCCCATAGCTATATGTCGGAGAACCATCCTCCTCATCCAGCTCATTCTCACCTGTGAGGGAAGCTTGAATGCGCTCCCTTTGAGCTGGGTTTGCATGCAAAAGTTCTGCAAAACGTTTCTGAAGCCATTCCCGTGACTGTGTGTACTTTCTGATTCTTCCATAGTTGTCGTCTCGAATTGCTCTTGCAAGCCTGCCCAATACTCGGGCATATGTCCATGTCAGCAACCCTTCCAGTGTCATGGTATCATGTGTAACCACTGGTCCAACTGCAAGTTCAGTTGGTGTAGGAGGTAACATCGGCACTGGCACTGGACGAAGAAATGGGCTGCGTAACATCCACCATGTATATGCTGCAAGTAACAACGTCCACAAGGTCAAAATCAGAAATGAAAACGGGTTGCTTCCATTGTTGTTCTGAGCAGTTTCATCGAAGTCAGTTCCAAAACATCCTCCAAGACCTACGGTCATGTTTCCTTGCAAAGAAATCATGGCAGCATGTGCTGTTGTGAGTCTCATTTTTCTTGACTCCTTCGGTTCATCTGTTGCAAACGTTGGGCTCCCTTCATCCGATGAAAGATCTGGCACCGTGTTCAGCATATCTGTTGCTTCTTGCCTTACGGTGTCATCGGAACCCATCACATGATCAAACAGATCTACCAACAGCGTCATGCGTTCTGTGTAGGCCAATGCTCTGATGTTGTTTCCATTGGAAATTGAATCTTCACGTCGACGAAAGCATCTTTCAAACATCCATGAAATCAAAGATTCAGGACTGAATGCAGGAAAGTCTGGAAGACCTTCACAACTCGATTCTGTCTCGGTCTCGCTGTAGGACATCTCCACAGAAGTCAAATCATCATTCGTGCTGGTCAAAACTTCGTTGCGCACAGGTTGATCATTGTGCATCCACAAGAACACCATGTACAAGGTCAACAAGGTGATCCAGCTTGTCACGATGGTTGCCTGCATAGTTGATCCTTGAAAATTGTAGTCCATGGCTCTAGTTGGCACGTCCGACCCGCAACCCTGAAGAAGCAAGCTCAAGGCGCCGATCAACATGTTGATCTGATATCTGGAAGCGCTGTTCTGTTGAGGTTGAGGAACATTTCTGAAAATTCGACCTGGGTCATGTTGTCCCACAAGATTGTTGTTTGCACTGTCCCAGATACCAAACAAATACAACAATGATTCCAATCTGCTGATGCTGAGTCTTTTCGTGGCTATATCAGATGGATTGATTGCTCCTAAGACTGCTTTAACCATCAACAGTTTTTCACCAACCAAGTTTTGAAGCCAAAGGACTCGACAACTGAGGTGACGCAAGCGACCAACTCCACGTCTTGATAGAATTCCACGTGCTGCTGATGAGTCGATGTACAAACACATGAGAATGGTTGACTGAAGTACCCATGAAATGATGGCTCTGATGAGAATTGCATCCATCACTGCGCTGGCTGCTGCATATGTTTCTGACTCGGCGCTGGACAGTGACACAATCTTCTGTGTTCGACTGGAGGAGTAGACCAAGCAACCTCCAAAGAAAATGGCAGCTCCTGACACCGATCGTCGGGTGTCACGGTCTGATGCCCAATCTGCGTCACTGAACACTTCCAGCACTGGTTCCTCACACTCATAGTCTTTGAGTCCAGAGTGGATTCCCTTCCATCTGAGAGAAACATGTTGGTCTGCATGACCAGCCAGATATCCCACCAGGTGCTTCAGCACAATCATCGTTTTCTGCGTTGGCTTCGATGAGAACGTCGAGAGATATCTAATCACATACTGACATTGTGGAAGGTCAGGTGAAAGATAAAGCAAAATCCCCACGCATGAACGGTAAATTGATCCATCATGAGCACTCAGTTATTTCTCCACGAAACCAGGATCGTAGGGACAGACTCCACAATGGTGCTGGAAGTTTCATTGTTAAATTGACATCTATATAATTGTATATTAAATTGTACGGCGTATCGTCGTGAAGTAAGGCAGGATGAATTTATGTAAGTACATTGCTTACATAAATTAACCTTACAAAAAAATAAAAAGTCGTAGTTGCCAACGCTCCGAAACAGGACAAAACGAAATGCACCACACTCGGACTTATTAATGATTTCCTTTTTGCTTCCAGTAATTGCACTGTCGGGGGTCAATCGAAAGCCGGTCATGGTTCCAGCTGAGTTTGACTTTGGTGCATTGGATGGGACATGATTCCATCATTGACAAACGTTGACACAAAGTGACTTGATGCTAAGTGTCAGAGCACCCGATGATTCCCATTTTTTGGGTGGGAGTGATAACGGGGAGGGTGACAAAAAATTGCCCTTATTTAAAAGGGACTCCCGCCCTCCCACCACTTGATTGGGAAACAGCCACAGCATTAACAATGATGATGTGACTGTGAAAGATGTGGAATGTTTTCAATGGAACTATTGAATACCACATCAATAATTTGAAGATTCAAGTTGAAAACGGAACGCCACTTGTTTGCGTCACCAGGTTTGGTTGGATGTTTCACTGTCTAACAGGTGTTTGTTTATCACCAAACCAAGAGAATACGTGTTGATCCTTATTTGTGAACTTCACAAATTTTCGTTTGGAGAAATAAGGCTTTCATCTTTTTTCAAAAGAGTGACATCTTATTTCTCCACGAAACCAGGATCGTAGGGACAGACTCCACAATGGTGGTGGAAGTTTCATTGTTAAATTGACATCTATATAATTGTGTATTAAATTGTACGG